CAGAGGATGAGATGCTACTCTCATTCTAAACTAATCCCTCCACCTCTGCCGTGTCTTCTAGCCTCCTCTGGAATTTTGGTTAGTTTCTCTCTTTCCTACATTTAAAACTCTCCATTTCTATTCACCCCTTTCAGCCAATAAATGTGCTCAGAACCTTGCTACCTGAAAAAAAAGTCTTTGCTTCACTTTACATCTTTCTACAGCTACTATCAATGTCTCTCCTCACCTCTCATCAGCTTTCTCTGAAGAATCTTCTACATTTGCTTTCTCCTTTTCGTTGCCTGTCATTCAGTGCTCAACCTTTTACAATATGATTTCTACCCTCTATTCTAATGGAAGTGGTGTTATTATAAATTCATCTTCTGATCATTCCCAGAGATGTTATTTTTGTCTCTCAAATACTTTCTGCTTTTTGTTTTGTTTTGTTTTTCACAATTAGTTTACTCCCTCAATCTTGAAATTCCCTTGGCTTTTGTTATACCATACTCTTCATGATTTTTAAAATTTTTGTCTAACTTTAGTTTTATCTGCCAGTAGGCTCCTTTTCTCCACCTTTTGTTGAACTGTTGTTGGAACCCAGATGATGTTAAGCTGTTCCACTTTTTCCTTCAGATCTTTTCTAGATTGTCTGGTTTATTCTCATTAACTTATGACTCCCCACACTGTGGCCTCTGAAGATCTCCTCCCTCAGCTTCAGACTGGAGTGTCCATCAGCTGGAAAAATAACTCCAATGCAACATCATTCAGCCACCTCAGTCACATCATATCCAAACCCGTAGCCATCATTTTTGCATGAAAATTATCACTACTACTCTGAGTTTTTAGTTGTTTGATGCCACTATAAGTAGAGTGACATCAAGTAAACATTATCTTTGATTTTTTTCATTTTTTCATCTATAAGTACTGCCATTTTTTTCCTTAAATATTTCTTTTTTTTTTTCCTCCTCATCCATCACTGTTCTACTGATCAAGCCCTCATAATTTGTTCCCTTTAATTAACTTCCCACTTGGTCTCTATGGGCCTCTCCAATCTCTTTTCCATATCCACCAGGGTATTCTACTGACCCTAATTTAATCCCTCCATAATTCCCCAGAGCCTACAGGGGAAATCTCTAGTTTCTTACCCTAATGCATAGACTGATTCAGGCAGACCTCTCACCACTCTTTTCTTTATATTTTTTGCCATTCCTAACTGCTGGTAGTGTCTCCCTCACATGATGTTTTTTTCTTGCCCCTGTTCCTTTTCTTATGTCTCTGTCTCTGCTCCTTACCTATTCAGGCCCTATACCTGCCGCACTTGCTTTCACAGGGCCTTTAGTGACTTCTCCTGGCTGTGTTAGGAGCCTCTTTTCTGTACTCCATAGTATCCTATACAAGTCTGTATTATTGGGTTAACAGGAGTGCATTATAACTATCTGTCTATTTGCCCCACCAGATTCAGAACTCCTAGAGAACATCCACGTATGTGAATTCATCTTTTAATCCCTAGTTACCACAAACTGCATATTCTACTTAGCAAATGTGGATTGAATAAATAAATAAATAGGGACGTAATGAAATTCAGATTAAATAATCTTAAGAATCTACTTAATATGTTAATTTCTTGAAGCCATGGAATGTTTCAACAATAGAACATTTATATAAAATATAAAATATTTAACTATGAGTAATTGATAGGCATTTACTTGTTATTCATAAACGGGATAATATAATTGATTTGTATTGGATTCATAACATTTTAGAGACTATGTAGTATCTTGAGGTAGACACAAAAAGCATTAAGACAGGATTTTTAAAAAGTTTTCAAAATATAGGAAGTAGCCTCTTATGTGTATTATGATTTAACCTGTGAATAACATGCCCCCATCTTTTAAAAATTTATGACAAAAGTATTTTGTTGAAACTTATTGATAAGTGTCACACATTTTCAACTTTAATTAGTGGTTTAAAGGAAATTTCATACATTCAGTAAAAAAAAATTAATAGTGATTAGGATTTGGAAATATTCAAAACTAGAAAATATATAGAATGAATTACTAACCCTATACCAAGTTAGTTTTAGAATCTACCCAAAAAACATATTGTTTTGATATTGTGTGTCCTTTTCTCCCAAATGTTGGCTAAATTTCCACAGCAGTGCAATGAAAATCCATCAAGATATAGGAATAATACAGTCACTGCTATTATTTATATGTGTTATGGTCTATAAAGTTGCTGTGAACACTGAATTAGTGAATGCTGAACAATTAATTGCTCCTAAAGGAAGTATAGATAGGTTCTTGGCAGCTTCTGGTCACAACCTTTGCATCAGCTTATCAATACATAACTTCGTTCTGTGTGTGTTGTTGTTTAAAAATACCTTTTTTAATGTTTATTATTGATTCATTAACATTGAATTCACAGCCAACAGCAGGATAACTCATGCCTGAGCAAAGCTTATCTAACACACAGTCTTCTCCATAAGTCACACCACAGCCCTCTTGCCTCATAAACACTAGACACTTAAGCATTATTCTTGGGAGCCTTTTTAAAAAAAAATTATCAACAAAATTGTTACCTGCTTTGTGCACGTCTGCAAATGACCAGGAAAGTGGCATTATTAAAATTGGGTATGAGTAAATTTCAGCCAATAGGCAAATTTGCAAATACAGAACCCACAAATAATCAGGATTAACAATATTTTGATATGTGCTTTTAGTCGCTCACATAGATTAGCTACACATTTTGGATTACATTTATTTTACTGTTTACTGTATTCTTATTATTTACTGTACAGTTCTCTACAGTCTGTTCTATGATGGTCTAATAAAAACCCATCACTGGGACTGGGAAATTAGGTTTATTTTTCATTTAGTTCCTTTATTTCCACCTTGTAGTTCCTCTATCTCCTACTTCTCCTCACTAGATTGAGTCAGGAGATGCAGTTCCAGTGTAAGTTTGGTTTTAGCTAAATATGCGATCTTGAACAATTTATTTGGCCAAGCTAGGTCTTATTTCCTCATCAGCATGATGATTATGTTGTTGCTGATAATCTCTAGGGTCTTTCTCAGCTTTAAATTTCGATGTCACTCTTTACAAGTGGATCTTGAAAAATTTAGACACTAAAACAAATTATAATACTAAAACAAAATGCATTTTAATAATTTAATCTAAAAAAGACCGAAGTTTAGAATGCACAGATTTCATAAAAGCTCCAGAATTCATTGCAATTTATTCCTTAAAATACTAAAAATTTCATCTGAAAGAATATTATAAACTATTAAGGTATAAATTATCTAGATAAAAACCACCATAACAAGAATGCTTTATATACAAATAATAACCAATTAACAATATAACCAATAAAACTTTCCCTATATAATGCTTTGTAATTTGGTGTCATTGCTGAAAACAGATCTACCATTCACACATTGCTCTTCTCTCTCCCCTGTCTGCCACCCCCACCACCACACACACATGGCCTTCTCTTTCACCCTTCCTCTCCTCCCCTTCTCCCTCTCTCAGTACTTGCTGCCCCCCACACTCACCAACCAAAATCTCAGAAATAGCTCAGAGGTTTACTGTGGAAGATTAAATAAGTGAGAAATTGAAGGTGGGCTTTTAAAGTGAGAAATGATGAGAACTCTAAGAATCGTAAGAACCCTAGGAATGCGTGATGTGACTTGAAAAACAAGAAAACAGATCTGAAAGACAATTCAGAGGTGCTGTTAGGATTTCTGACTGAATTGATATGTAATTATCTTTGTGTGTTTGTTTCTTTTACTTTTTTCACCACCATCATCCCTACTATAATCAAGGCTTCATAGATGTGGGATTTTGGTTTTCTTGTTCACTACTTTTCTTGCATCTCTACTGCCTACCTCAGTTTCATGCACATAGTAGATATTTTATTAAATATTTTACAAATAAGTGTTCACTGTGTGGGAAGACTAGTGGAGGAGAATAAATTGTCAGAAATGTAATTTTAAACATGATCCCAAATTACCATCTACATATCCATCCATCAGTAAACACTAACCAATAATCATTTTTACCAGGGAGATCTTGCTTAAATATTTATTCAAATAAAACTATTTTAGTTAATGACAAATCTCTAATAATGTGACAAGGCTGCAGAAATGGCTACATTAGGTTATATTTCTAAAAATTCCTATTCAGTCAAAGAAGATAGTGATTCTATTGTGATGGATTATTTATTAACCAATATAGCCCCATACTCTGAGAATGGGACCAGCAAATTAGAGTATATTCCAAAGATGACAATCAAAACGGAGACCCTGTGGTCTGAGGAGTGGTTCAATTGCTTCCAAAGGGATAGATACAGGCAAAAATATTGTGCAGAGAATCTGTAGCAGGATTCAAGAGACTGAATTCGAGACCCAGGTCTAAGTAATTCTGTGGCAAGTCAGTTATCTTTTGGCATTACTTACCTCTTCTATTTAAAAAAAAAAAAAAAAGATTAAAGTTTTAGCTATTTTGTAATCTTTCTTCCAGGTCGATTACTGTATTCAAGAATTCAAAAATTCAATATTATGTGTTAACTTGAGAGTTTGTCCTCAAATAATGGAGAGCTATTTACATATAAAATGATACAGGTTTAGTTTTGTTTTAGACGGTAGAATTAGTCCCAACAAGTAGGATTTGCAGAGGGCGATTTCAGTTCATTCTATGGGGTAATTTTTGAGCCATTTCATTAGTGCAATAAGAAAAAGGCTTATCATGCAAAGTAGTGATATTTTCATCATTGCCAAGGATATCATGTAGGGAAATTATTCATTGTGTTACAGAGTCGATTTAGCAATACCTTTCAGCTCTAGGATTTTCTACTTCTGCTGTTTAAGGTAGTCCCAAAGCATATCCTCAAGGCCAGTATCCCAGCAAGCTTCTATGCTAGTCTTTTAAATTGAATAAATGATTTTCTTTTATCATGAAATAAGGAGGGTGGGAAGAAGCATGGAGCATCGAAACTTCTTCTCTTTGATTCGCTCTATCACGTTCAGCAGGTTCAAGGTCAGCTGCCGCCATTAATGATTCCCGTATTCCCTCCTGATCAACGGACACTGGCTGCAGCTGCCCAGCAAGGATTCCTCCTCCCTCCAGGCTTCAGCTATAAGGCTGGATGTAGTAAGTACTGTTGATTTTTCATCTGGGAGTGGGTGGAGGGCAAAGCTTTAAATTAGGCAATTTAATATTACTGCCACACCAAGAAATGAGATCACCTATATTGCATTTTTATTTTAAAGAGGAAACACACAGAATGTGTGGAGAAGTGAGTTAGTATTTAAAAGGGCTTAGATTAAGTCTGTGCTTCTGAAGCCAATATTCTGTATAACTCAATTTCATAACTTCTATTTACAGTGTATTGTTAATGTATGAATGTAATTTGTGGATTCATTTAATTTTTTGCACAGATGACATAGGAATATGCTTTTTACCACCTTTTCAACAGTGAGATAAACCCAAATTTCCTAATGTGAAGGAGTTCCCCTGTTATTTGTCTCCTCCAAATATTTACAGCCTAAATTCTCAGCAGTCTTTGGAGTTCTTGGGCCGAACCATTCTTTTTCTTGACTCTGGACTTCCATCATCAGTATTCACTCTCCTTCATATTGTGAAGCGCTTCTAGCTCAGATTAGGGAGCACTTGCCTGACTTGACCTAAGTTAGGTCCCTCCCTCCTGCTTCCTTTGGATTCTGTATATTTTCTTTTTCACTTTAATTGTAAACTTTCTGAAGGCAGTTGCTGATTCTGTCTTACTCATTGTTATATCTCAACTTTTAGTACAACATTCAACATTTTTGAATGAATTAATGAATGAATACATAAGCAATATAGAGGACTTTTTTGAGCTAAGTGATATACTGGAATAACTGTTTATATTGCTTATTAACTTTAGATGCCTGTGATGTCATGCCTTTTTCTCTTTCTTACCCAAATATAAATTGCACATTGTTAGTCTTAGGAAAAAATACATCATTTGAAAAAGTTATAGTCAAAATGCCAACTGTATTCTGTAAGATAAAAATAATAACACATTCTAAAGAGGGGCTAGATTGCTAAGCTAGATATCTTCCAGAACATCTTTACCATGGTCAGAAGGAAAATACTAAAAGCAAGTTGATTGAAATATTTTCATTGATAGAAGTGAATACCACTGAAAAAAATTAGTGAAACATTATTTTAGATAATTACATAGAATATTGTTTTTAAATTCCAGTGCATTTTGGCATGTGTGTGTGTGTATATATATATATATTTGTTATATATATAAAAATTGTGTCATTAACATCTTGTTATGCTTTAGTATTTAATTAATTTGAGAAACTCTAACATTACTAGAAATCAGTTCTACATTTTCTATTAGGTGATGTTTTAAATTCTCACATTGGGGATTTCAACATTTATTTCTCGTCTTTCAATCTTTCTCTATATCATATAGAAGAAATGGGTTGTAATTTCTTAAATAAGCAAAGCCATTTGACATTAGAAGATTGCAACTCTGTAGTTCAGATAAAAGTGGTCTGCATTCAAGGCTATAAAAATTCGCATATGTGTGATGCTTTGCTCTTTGAGATTTTCATATTGCTTTTGGAAATCTTTCTCTTTACTTTGGTTTCCTGTGTTTTAAAACGGAATTCTCACTCTGGACCCTTAATTTATTCATCTAGTATTACTTTTCATATCATCCTACCTTTGTAGGTTATCAATTCATCCAGACACACCAACATTTTTTTGTAATTAAATACTATGTTTATTCTAAATATTTTAAATTCTAAGAATAATTTAAATTCTATGAATAGAATTTTCATTTTTATTGCTACACTAAGTTCTGATTTTTTTAGTTCTCATTTTTAAATCATGAAAGATGTTTTGTTTTGTTTCTGTTTTCTTAAGGAATTACTGTTCACATTAAACACATGCCATACATATGTTTTTAGTAAAAAAAAAAGAAAAGAAAGACGACACTTTCTAAAATCATTAGTTGCCTTTGACGGCACCTGTAATATATATATATAGATTAGTTATATTTTCAATAAAACAAAAAAATCTTTTAAAGCAACTGCAAAAGTAATTCCGATTAGCAAATATCCTAGTCACATTTCAGGAAAGGAAATAGAAGTAGGAGGAAGAAATTGTGCTGTTTCTGCTCTCAGTGGGACTTCCTGATTTATTCCCCTCATAGTTGTCAACCATTTATGACTTTTCCGTTCGCCAATTATTTCCATTTATTATCATAGTCTCTCAATAAAAGAGACTGACCAACCCCATCTGCTTTCAATTTCAAGCAAATATAGAAAAAATACCACTATTGTTGCTATCAAAATCCAGATACTTTTCATCAATCCATTTATCGAAACATACTGATGAATAAATGTTTCTTGTTTAGACTAGATGTCTTTTCATAAAATACATAAAATAAATTTTAAATCTCTTGGAACTAACTAGAAACTTTAAATGTACTCGACAGGAAAAAAAAAAAAAAATACACACACATTTAAAGGGAACCTAATCGTTATAAAACTGAGTTAGCATCTCCTGTTTCTGAAACAAAAGCTTTTAGTTTGGACAGAAAGATTTTTCTTAAGAAATACATAATAGCGGGCCGAGACGGCGGATCACGAGGTCAGGAGATCGAGACCATCCTGGCTAACACGGCTGAAACAGACCGTCTCTACTCAAAAAATACAAAAAACCTAGCCGGGCGAGCGCGGGCGCGCCGCCTGTAGTCCAGCTACTTCGGGACGGGGCCTGTAGCGCAGGAGAATGCGTAAACCCAGGGGGGCGGAGCCTTTGGCCAGTGAGCCGCCGCGAGGAACATCCGGGCCACTGCACCTCCAGCCCGGGCGACAAGCCGGACTCATCCGTCTCAAAAATAAAAAATAAAAAAATAAAAAAAAAAAAATAAAAATAAAAAAATAAAAAGAAATAGCCAC